GCTAGAATCTAGAACACAATCTCTGGTCGTTTTCCTTGCGGACGGATAAACATATCGGAAGTCCGTCGCGATGTCTTTGACCGCAAGTGCGTTTCTAGAACCGTCGGAGAATGAGATGATCGACAGTAATGTGATCACCGAACTTGTCTGCAACAACCGTTTCCGAACCTCCGCCTCCCTTTTTGTACGATGGTGGCTTAGTCATCTTGGCCCTGCTACAGGCAGTACAAAATGGATTCTTCGGAACATGCGCCAACAGATGAGCAAGCGACTTCACTTCGCTTCCTGCCTCAAGGCTTGTTCTCCGCGATCGCGCTTCTCAGGCGGTGGTTCGGGGACTAGCCTGGCATCAATGGCTTCGGGCTCAGGTGCTATAGGTTTCGGAGGAGCCTCATCAACACTAGATGTTGTTGGAATTGGGATATACGAGGGCTTTCCGTTCCCAGAAGCACCGTTCTCGTACTTATACCCCAGAGCTGTCATCGCGATACCATTTGTTGAAGGCAGATAAGGAACATAGTCTTTGACCCGCAATGTAATTTTTTCACCGCCAGGTTTCTTGAAGTAAGGATTGCCACTAGATGGCCGGACAAACGACCAACCTTGATCAACACAAAGCTGACCAACCGATTATAGCTGCCGGGCTGTCACCAAGCGCATATGGATTGGCAGTGATTCCCAACAATGGGATTTTGAGTTTTGCTTGATCATTCGCCTGAAAAACTCCGTTGGCTGTGAGAAGACTAACAGGCTTATTGGATTCAAAAACCTCGTTTCGTTTGACCATCTCACGTGATACTAGATCATTGGCACTACCAGTGTCTGCAAAGTCCGCATTGCTGTTTGTTGAATCTGAAAGCAATGTTTACAACCTATCTCGGAGTCACACAGATATCGACAACGTGCCTCGATGCCGTTCAGCTCATTCGAAACAGCGCGGCTCAAACGGTCAGCTGCAATGCATGCATCTTCGGATGCCATTTCCAATACTTCAGGATTCCCTTTATGGCCTATGGGAAATCTGACGCGCTTGCGTTGTTCACGTGCAGCACCTGGAAACATTAAAGAATTACCATGAACCACGTGCCTAAAATTTTCAGGTTCATCAACAAATGAAAGGCATTTCTCAATTCCACGTCCTGACGATGATGATGATGCTGATGATGATGATGATGATGATGATGATGATGAGCTCGTAGCTGGAGTAGCAACCATGGCCACGTTTCCCAACGGGCGACTGATAGTAGCGGACTGCGATGATGAGACTGCAGACGGTAGGACCAGAGTACGCAGTAGGCAAACAGCGGCTGGGTTAGAAGGAGTGCCTTTCCCACCTTTGGATTTCTGACTATCGCCAGAACCACCGGAGCCACGAGAAGTGCTTCTTTTCTTCTTCTCTTTCTTCTCCTTCTCCTTCTTCTTCTCCTTCTTCTTCTTCTTCCGTTTCATCTTGTCGTCACTGGGTGCAGGTGTCGAAGAACGATCTTGATGTTTGAAAGCACAATTCTTTCCTCTGTGACAGTCCCCAGATTTCCAAAACTTGCATACCTCAGACCTGGAACCCATAGTCAACGACCTACTGCGAGAAGAAGATCTACCCAATCTACCCTTACCACTACCTTTGGACCTTCCTTTGCAGGGTTCACGGGGTTTCTCATGCTTGAATGGGCAGTCGCGCCTACTGCACTTACCTTTGTTCTGAAACTCGTAACAAACGCCTTTGGGTTTCTTGTCATTTGGATCAACAACAGGCGCTGCAGGATCTTTGCCTCCAAGACTGCGTTTCGTGGCATCCCTCATCTTCTCAAGACGTTTTCTTTCAAGGTATGCCTTTGCTGACTTGATCAAAAAGTCATAAGTCTTTTTGGCACTACCTTCCGAGGTGCGTTCGTAGATTGCAAGATCATGACTCAGTGGTTTGAAATTCTTGACAGCAAGATGGAAATATGCTTCAAGCCGCTTCTTGTCAACCTCCGTGCGCATCCCCGCAATGACAGATTCCCATCGGGTCACGAAGCCCTTGAGATCCTCATTGACCATCTTAACACAAATAAGGTCCTCAACATCGTAAATTGCACTGTGTCTGATGGATGTGGCGAAGTACTCATGAAACAATAAAAGAATCTGACGCGTTCCTTCACCTTTTCTTTCGTTTCCTTAAATGTGTTGAGTTGGCGAGCGGTCCCCCTCTGCACAGTTTATCAAACTCGAGAGAAGCTTCGCGTCCAACGTCGTGAACCCTTCCGAATCGTCCAAGCCCTTAGTGGTCACAGCGTCTTCGTAAACCTTACCTAGCCATAACCTGGCCTTGTCCGGCTTTGCGGACGCTGCAGACACGTTGTCCCGAACCTTAATTCGCCAGTCTCTGTACCTTTCAGGGGTTGGACTTGGGGATCAAAATTTTATCGGCCTCTTTGGGCCTCTATTCACGATCCTCTTTCTTCATCTTTTTCACATGTTTCCTAACCTTCCGGGCAAAGGACGAATCCCCAGAAGATGAGCTCGACGATGAAGGTGACTCGGACGGGGAAGGAGGCCCCTTTTTGTTTTTCTTTTTATGCTTTTTGTGGGGCGACCTACCACGTCGCTGTTCTTTGTCATCATTCTTCTTTTTTCTTTTTATCATTCTTGCTCTTCTTCTTGTCATCCGGTGATGATGAGTCTGGAGAGCTGGGTGGTCCAGGAGGACCTCCGCCATCGACTTTCGGGGCATTCGTGCCACCACATGCCACGGTCTCACGATATGGATCACCGGAGCTATCCATAACAGACCTTTGCATCGCACAAATCGGATGTCCAATGGGAAGTTCATTTGATCCCATTGGACCGGGTAGAGAAGTTCTCAGATTTGCCGTGGGAACGGCTGGCTCAAAGTTCTGTCGAGCGGATGACTCCATTTTCTCTCGAAGTTCACGAATGAGCTCAGTGTGAGTTCTCAACTCTTCCCTATAGGGTTTCACGATTGTGCGCTTGTTGTTGCAATTCACTCAAATTGTGGTGATAAAGCTGAGATTCAGTCAATGCAGCGTTCTTCACATCTGCTTCACGTGCATTCATCTTAGCCTGTTCATTTGCAGCCCAAGATGCTGCCCTTCGCTCTTGTAACTCGAGCTGCTCCCTGACACGGTCCTGTGCATCGCGCTGAATCGATTCTACCTGCCTCTTGACTTGTTCATCTTTCTCGGACATCACTTCCCTGTGTCGCATTTCTGCAATTTCTGCGACTTCAACTGACTTATCCAAGTTGACATTTATCATTCTCTGGTCATGATGGTGGGCAGTATTGTTGATAACTTGTCGCGAGTCAACGTGTGAACCTGACGGCACAAAAGCTGGGCTCGTGGGAGACAATGTGACTGCTGTCGCAGGAATCGCAATCGGCATCGCATTCCCACGTGCTTCGGCCATTTGTTCATCCCCATTCTCTGAGGGAAAGATTTCCGTCGGAACATACGACTCACGATCTTCAGCGTCTCCAAGGCGCGACCTAGAACGATCCGTGTCCTCTCAAATCGCTGTCGAGGGCTTCCCCGCCATGCCACCTCAGGTTTGCGCAGTACCTTGGTGGGTCGGTGACACGGCAGTCAAAGGCGCGGACCGCTCTTTGGCGATACGGCTGATAACCTGAATTTACAGGCCAACAGCCTAGATGTACCAACATGCGAAGCACCCTTTTCCTTGAGCCAAACATGGAGGTCATATGAAGGTGTACAATGTGTACTTAATCGTGAAACTAATAATACATTTACTAGTCACCTGTTGAACATCGACTGTTTATGGTCAAAGGTCTTTCAGCTGAGGAAGAACATCTGGCTATCTGGCTATCCTGGTGGTATCAACAATGTAACACATTTACACTAAAGAGCCCAACATTGTCCACTCGCGTTTGTCTGCTTCCAACTGCAATGATTGATCCCTGCTCAGAATGTTGGTTTGCCAGCTCGCCTCCTGCGTGTACGTCGTGGTGGGAGGTGTGGTTGTGGTGGTGGGAGGTGTGGTTGTGGTGGTGGGAGGGGTGGTTGTGGTGGTGGGAGGGGTGGT